TTCATTTGACTTTTCAATATAACAAATGAAAAGTGAGACATGAAATGAAAACATCATAAAAATTCAACAGTTGATGAAGATTGAGCAAATGTAATAAGCTCCCCTTTACAGTTCTTACACACATAAAAGAGCGTAATTAATCAGGGAAGAAGAAAGTATTAACACAATTATGTACTTTGAAAACTTCATGCTGCCTGTTCTTCCATTGCCCTTTTCCTTTCTTCTTCCTCAGCTTTCATCCACGCGGCCTAAACACAGAGAACAACACACGATCACATCAATAAAAAACAAATAAATTTATCGAAAACGAGATTTCGTCAAGTAAAAAAATGAAGAATGAATTGAAATCTATCTTATCTTGCCTTGTCTCGTTGAAGTCTCGAAACATGAGGCCTCATCGAATTTCCTAAGCTCAATCCACCCCATGCTGCCTGAAGTTCTCTCTCCCGAGCCTCTCTGCGCGAAACAGAATGTCTCGTGTTGTTTTCCCCTTCTTTACTCTGTTGCTCGTGAACAACACAAACCTGCATTATTTTTTCTCTCTCTAACCTCGATTTGTGCTTGACGAGAACTTGGTCCAAACTGCCTTCACTACTCTCAGCTTTACTCTTGGGTTTTATTATCCTCATTTCCTCATCCCCACAAAAACTCAGCTTTTCCTTTTCCAGCTTCGACACGTGCTTTTTTACCAAAACTTTATCAAGACTCTCGCCATAACTCGAAAAGTCTCCTTTACGACAAACCTTAGAGCCCATGTCCTTATTTTCGGTTTTGTTCGTGTCCACATTCTCTTTCCCATTTTTCTCTGTCGAAAAAGATGCAGTCTTTTCGCCATTCTTTTCTTCCTCAACTTCTCTCTCGAGCCTTGTTAGGTGTTTGACGAGATACTTATCCAAGCTGGGAAGAACTTCACTGAAATCTTGGTTCACACGCGGGCCCCTTTGAATCTTCCTGTTGTCGCCTGTTTTTGCTCCTTCAACCTCTTTCTCGAGCTTCGAGGCATGTTTCACAAGAACACTTCCTAAATCTGGAACCTTTTCATCACTGCTTATAATTAATTTCTTTTCATCTTCAGCTTTTTTTCGGGCGTTCTTCGCTTCCAGCACATCCCTTTCGAGCCTCGTCAGCCGCTTAACAAGAAATTTGTCTAAACTAGGAATTTCAGCATCAGACGAAGAAGAAAAACTCCTCCTCCCACCTAATGACATTCTGCTTTGGGCCTTAAGACGAGAATTCTCGGCATTCTCAGTGGAAGAAGAAGAAGAAGAGCTTGACAAAGAATACCTTTTGCTGCTATTATTATTAATATTTCC